GTTGAGAGTCCTCCCACAAACCAGTATTGACGGATAATGGAGAAACAAAGGTGGGGCTTTAATAGGCAAAACTGACAAATACGGAATGGTTCTCCCTATAATTTTTCGTTCTTTTCATAAATAGAACATACAGTCATGCACTTCCTAACAGTGGACTCCATGTATGATGGTTTTCCCCTAAGATTATAATGGAACTGAAAAATGTCCTTTGCCTAGTAAGCTTCTTTGCCCTGCTCACTCCCAGCACAGAGCGCTACTCACACATTTGTGGCAATCCTGATGTAAGATGCTGCCAGTCACATAAAAGGCTAGCACATGCTTGATAATGAGAATGAATGACTGGCTTACTAGTTCATCCATGTACAATGGGATACTTTCTACTGTTATTTTAGAGTGTACTTTGTCTACTTATAAAACACAAAAGTTAACTGTGAACAGCCCCAGGCAGATCCTTCAGGTGCTATCCAGAAGAAGGCACTGCGATCATTGGACATGACAGTTTTATTCATGCGTGTTGCTGCCCTTGAAGAGCTTCCAGTGAGACAGGATGTGGAGGTGGAAGACAGTGATATTGATGGTCCCGACCCTGTCCAGACCTAGGCTAGTGTGTGTGCTCATGTCTTACTTTATAATAAAAAGGTTTAAAAAGTAAAAAGAAAAATAGAGTCAAAGAAACACAAGACAGAAAAAAAAACACAATAAAAATAGAAAAAAAGCTTATAGAATAAAAATATAAAGAAAAAATACTTTTGTACAATTGTACTATGTGTTTGGGTCTTAAACTATTATTACAAGAGTCAGAAGACAAAAAGGGTAACAAGGTAAAAATGTTACAGTATTTAAGGTGAATTTATTATTGAAGAAAGAAAACATTAATAAATGTATTGTGGCCCAAGGATACAGTGTTACTAAGGTCTTCAGGAGGGGACAGCCACGTCTTAGGACTTCACATCCACTCAGCACATACTCACTGACTCACACAGAGCAACTTCCAGGCCTGCCAGCTCCATGTACAGGCAGTACCCAATATGAAGGAGCCGTCTTCTTTCATACCATATTTTCTCTGCTCCTTTTCTGTTTAGATAGACACAAACACTTACCATTGTGTTACAATTGCCTACAGTACTCAGTGCGGTAACATGCTATACGTGTTCATAGTCTTGGAGCACTGGAAGGGATGGGGTTTCACCACGTTGGCCAGGCTGGTCTACAGTGAAAAATAAACATGGAATCCTTGAGATAAAAATATGCTAAGACAAAGAATAGGTGTTATTAGCATGAATGGTATCATGCACATACCAAAGACATGAATTAACTATTTAGTTTTTAAGTGATAAATATCACTCTTCCAACCCCAAAATTCCCTTTAGAGCATAGGTCATGACTTTATACACCATAAAACCCAGGTGTGTAGCAGGCTACACGTCTAGGTGTGTGTAAGGACACTGTGATGTTCATACAACCACAATATTGTCTAATGATGCATCTCTCAGACTGCATCCTGTCCTTAAAAGACAAGTGACTTCCCCCTGCCCCATCTTCGTCCTCCCCCACCCACACAGTTAGCTTTTCTCTGTAGAACAAGGGGCTCTTGTCATTTCATAATTTCCACATTTCCTGGCATCTTTGAGTTTTACACGTGTGTTTATGTTACTATCATCTCGTTACACTTATGTGGTTTTGAAGGAAAGGGGAGAGGCCTTATTGATTTTATTTGTTTTGACTGGACCCAACACAAGGTAGAAGTCTCCTCTGTTAAGCAGATTAAATTGAGATCAGTCCCTGGGGACATATCGACATAAGCCCATTAATATTCTGCCAAACCAAATAAGATAACCACTGCTTGTCAGAGAATAGATTAACAATTAAAAACAAAGTCATGACCTATGCTCTAAAGAGAATTTGAGGGTGGGATGAGTGATATTTCGACTTAAAAACTAAATAGTTAATTTATGTCTTTGGTTTGTGCATGTTAACATTCACACTAATAACATCTGTTCTTTGTCTTAGCATATTTGTATCTTAAGGACCCCATGTTTTTTTTTCATTTATTTTGAACTATGTTTTATGAATTGCATGTCATTAAATGGAAGGAGAAACTAAATACATTAAGAAAAAAATTACATAATCAATGAGAAGCAGAAACAAATCCATAGCCCGTGTGTTTTGATAAACAACTGCTCATTTCTAATTAACACATTTAGTTGCCTTCATATCCTGTAGCACATTGATAGTTTTATTTATAGTTATTACAGTATTGCTGCAATGGTTTTATTATGTCTCCATGGTAGGTCAACTTCAGCGAGAGCAGCAGCACCTGTCTCTTGTTACATGAAAATGTAAAGAATTGAACTTACAGATCATGTAGAAGCCAGGGAATAAATCTGCTGTTCTTTTTTTTTTTTTTTTTTTCGTATTTGTGCTCTGGGGTACATGTGCACATCCTGCAGGATTGTTGTATAGGTGCATACATGCCATGGTGGTTTGCTGTTATCCCTCCCCATCCTCCCTGCCCCCATCGCTGTCCTCCCTCCCCTCCCATCCCCTCCACCCTCCCACCTAGCCCTGTGAGTGTTGTTCCCCTCCCTGTGTCCAAGTGTTCTCATCGTTCATCACTCGCCTATGAGTGAAAACGTGGTGTTTGGTTTTCTGTTCTTGTGTCAGTTTGCAGAGAATTATGGTTTCTAGGTTCATCCATGTCTCTACAAAGGACACGAACTCATCGTTCTTTATGGCTGCATAGTATTCCATGGTGTATATGTGCCACATTTTTTTGGTCCAGTCTATTATTGATGGGCATTTGGGTTGGTTCCAGGTCTTTGCTATTGCAAACAGTGCTGCAACGAACATACGTGTGCATGTGTCTTTATGATAGAATGATTTATAATCTTTTGGGTATATACCAAGTAATGGGATTGCAGTGTCAAATGGAATTTCTATTTCTTAATCCTTGAGGAAGCGTCACAGTGTCTCCCACAATGGTTGAACTAATTTACACTCCCCAACAGTGTAAAAGTATTCCTATTTCTCCACATCCTCTCCAGCATCTGTTGTCTCCAGATTTTTTAATGATTGCCCTTCTAACTGGTGTGAGATGGTATCTCAATGTAGTTTTGATTTGCATTTCTCTAATAACCAGTGATGATGAGCATTTTTTCATATGTTTGTTGGCCTCATATATGTCTTCTTTTGAAAAGCGTCTGTTCATATCCTTTGCCCACTTTTGAATGGGTTGTTTGTTTCCTGTAAGTCTGTTTTAGCTCTTTTTAGATTCTGGATATTAGCCCTTTGTCAGATAGGTAGATTCAAAAGTTTTTTTCCCATTCTGTTGGTTGCCAATTCACTCTAATGACTGTTCCTTCTGCTGTGCAGAAGCTGTGGAGTGTGATTAGGTCCCAATTGTCTATTTTGGCTTTTGTTGCCAATGCTTTTGGTGTTTTAGTCATGAAGTCCTTGCCTATGCCTATGTCCTGAATGGTTTTGCCTAGGTTTTCTTCTAGGGTTTCTATGGTGTTAGGTCTTTTGTTTAAGGCATGAGGATTTTTACAGAAAATGTTTAATTGTGGTAAAATGCACATAACATAAAACTTAGCATCCTGGCCATTTGGCATTAACACATTCACATGGTTGTACAACCATCACCATTATCCATCTCCAGAATTCTTTTCATCTTGCAAAACTGAAACTCCATACCCATAAAGCTGTAAGTTCCCATTCTCCTCTACCCACATCTCCTGGCAACCGCTATGGTACTTCCCGTCCCTGTCAACATGATCACTATAAAGAGAATATCCTAGATCACTCTCTCTCTAGGGCAGATACATGAACACTAACTCTCTCCTTTCTTTCAACACATTTCTGGTGAAGATGTAGGGGAAACAAAATCAATCACCTGAGATTCTGAAGAGTTTTAAAAGAATTGAAAAAATTAGTGAGCAGGGAGAATGGCCCTGAAATAAATGCACTGTTCAGTTATTGAACGTGCACTGGTTTAATATTATTCCTATAGCTGGTAACTCTTTTGCATGTCACTGATGATCTCACAGGCTTCCTTTAGCCTTAAAGGTTGTTGACGCTCCTGAACAAAGCTGTGAATTCTTTGGAGAATCTTATTCTATAGTAGATTACGGTGACTAGCGTAGGTAACTTAGCATTAGGACTTTTATAAGTGCCTCCTGTGATTCTCTCTCATGTACAAGTGACGTTGGTAAGCATTGGCCTACCTGGTTTATGTCGTCCATGATATGAGATTAGAGATAAGTGATTAAACACAGATGGGCTTGTCTTTGAAACAGCTGTTTGATATCACAAACATCATCTGATAAGGTGTATGGAAACCTCATCATCAGAAAACACTTTCAGTATCTGCTGTCTTCCCCAGCTCCTATATGACTGCAGAAGCTGGAAGAATAAGGGCAGCTGATTGGTTTCCCCACTGCAAAAATGCTACCAAACCTTGGCCTCCATCAAATAATGTTCTGGGAAAAATAATAAGGCCAAGGAGCTGTTCCTATGAACAGGAATCCCACAGACACTATGAGGCAATGCTCATGGAACTCAGAAATCAGAGGCAAACCTATATCAAGCAGTGATATACAGGAATACAGAGCTTTATAGCATGTATAACCTGGTATCAAGCTTGCTTCCATGAGATCATGGGGAATAAATGAAGACTGTCCAATCATAGTTTTTTTTTTTTTTTTTTTTTTTTGGAGACGGAGTTTCGCTCTTGTTACCCAGGCTGGAGTGCAATGGCGCGATCTCGGCTCACCGCAACCTCCGCCTCCTGGGTTCAAGCAATTCTCCTGCCTCAGCCTCCTGAGTAGCTGGGATTACAGGCACGTGCCACCATGCCCAGCTAATTTTTTTGTAGTTTTAGTAGAGACGGGGTTTCACCATGTTGACCAGGATGGTCTCAATCTCTTGACCTCGTGATCCACCCGCCTCGGCCTCCCAAAGTGCTGGGATTACAGGCTTGAGCCACCGTGCCCAGCCCAATCATAGTTCATTTGTGCACATAGAGATCAGTACAGAAACCCCCTTGGAATAGTTGTTTACATTTCTCGACATTGTAATCAATTCCTTCTTCTCTATCCACATTTTCAATCAGACAGCAAAACCATTCTTTTTACTGTATTGAAATCATTTATTTAATAAAATATTGTTTTTGAAACATTGCAAAACATGCATACAAATGTTGCAAAGCATTCATGGAAGAACAATGACTGCTATTTATGATCAAGTCCTCTGATAGAGTGGGGATAGAGGTGGGTGAGGTGGATCCCTCAGTAAAATTACTGCCCCTGCATACTTTTGCTTTACACCAGAGAAGTGGTCTTCTGTCTCTTGTCATCTCAGCTCACCAGTGGTTTTCCACTGCCATCGGCAATAATACTTGATTTCCATCGTAGAGAATACAGTGGCAAGCTGGGTAAGTAAATGGGAGCACCTTATCCACAGGTTAACATTTCACAGTCCTTGGGTGGTAGACAATTAAAGGGGTCCCTTTTCCAATCCATGCTGGGTGATTCTGATACACTTGACCCTTGCTGAGAACTGCTGGTTTAGAGACTTCTTAAGTTTCTGTGTTTATATTCTAGGGGAAATAGAAAGAGTAGCTAGTTAGAAGGTTTTTCAATTTAACTAGGATCTAAAGGAAATAAATCCACCTACTCCATCCTTCAACAGCATTAAATGCCCTTTGGCACCAAATTCTAAATTTTATGAGAAATTTTACCTAAGCTTCCTATTTATGCTAGTGGGGAGGAGGAGGAAAAAAACAGAAAGACAGGCAGATACCTGGGATGATTTGCGAAGCAGTGATTTGTCACTTTTCAGCTTGCTGGTGCCACCTGCAGTTATGTGTGTGTGTGTATGTGTGTGTGTCTTGAATTCATTTCTCAGTCTCTTTACATGCTAGGCTTTTGTTAAGTGTTCAGCAAGTGTTCAGAACCAACTCTACCCATAGTGATAAGCAGACGAGGTGCCCCTCATGGTGGTCCATCTTCCCTGCTCTCACAATGATGCTGCCAGGAGCTTGCCATGAACAAACTGTAGAGATCAACACTCTTGCTTTGAGACGTCCGGCTGTGCTGAAATACAACTACCTCTGGAAGGGGAAGGTGGTCAACCATCTCACTGCATTATACCTTCTAGTGTATGAAAGAGTTCATCAGGTCTGTTGCTCCCAGCAGATTTTGATGAAAGACAGGAGAAAAGAAGTGGGAGTTGTCTACACCAAGCAGGGAGGACCACCTGGTGAAAGAAAAGAGGAGCACAAGGTAGAGGCTGGCATTGGTCAATCTGGGCATGCAGCAGATGCTCAAAGGAAAATGGACTTAGGGTGAAAAATGTAAAGCTGCAGTTACATAGGATGAATAAACCTAGGGATCTGATGTATGGTGTGAGGACTGGGGTTAATTAATAATGCTGCATTGGGGTTAATAATGCTGTGTTGTGGTTACTAATGCCATATTGTGGTTAATAATGCTGTGTTGTGGTTACTAATGCTATATTGTGGTTAATAATGCTGTGTTGTGGTTAATAATGCTGCGTTTTGGTTAATAATGCTGCATTGCTGTATTGCATACTGGGAATTTGCTAACAGGGTGGATCTCAGGTGTTCTCAGCACAGAAACACACAAAGGTAGTGAGCGTTCCTCTTTTCCATGTGAGGAAATGGATATATTCATTTGCTTGACTGTTTATCATTTAGGAGCTTTAAGTATATGCAGTGCCCCCCACCACACATACACACAAAGAAGTAAGCAATTACAATCCAATGTCAACTTTCTTTTCTCTTTCTTTCTCTCTTTCTCTTTCTCTCTTTCTTTTTTTCTTTCTTTCTTTTTGAGTTGGTGTCTTGCTCTGTTGCCCAGGCTGGAGTGCAATGGTGTGATCTCAGCTCACTGTAACCTCTGCCTCCACATTTCAAGCAATTCTCCTGCCTCAGTCTCCTGAATAGCTGGGATTACAGGTGTCCACCATGATGCCCTGCTATTTTTTTTTTTTTTAATTTTTAGTATAGACAGGGTTTCACCATATTGGTCAGGCTGGTCTCGAACTCCTGACCTCGTGATCTGCCCGCCTCAGCCTCCCAAAGTGCTGGGATTATATGTGTGAGCCTCCATGCCCAGTCCAATGTCAAGCTTTCTTTGCTTTGTATCTGCTGTTCTAAAAAGGAGGGGGAGAAAAATTGCAAATCACTACCTCGAGCTGTTTCTAGGAAGGTTTAGCATCCAAGGCAACCCTTCATCTATTCATTACTTCTTTAGTTTGCTTAACAAAATGAGCAAGCCCTCAGTAACCACACTGAGCTCTTGGGACCTAAGGACAAATAAAAGAAGGAACAACAGAAAAGGCTTCCTCTGTTGTAGACAGAGCACTGAGGGAGGCTCAGGGGAGACGCCCCAGCCAGGGCCTGGAGGATGGGAAGGAAAGGATCTCGCCACTGGAGTGCATGGGGCGGTCAGTCCAGAAGGAAGAAGAGCGTGTGTAAAAACCCTTAGGGAAAATCTTTCCCTGCCTCTTTCTCCTAGAGACTGATGTGAGTATTAAGGGCTGGGTCTAAATGACAAGAAGTTAAAGCAAACACACCAGCCATCAAATGCATCACGACACAGAGAAAAGCAGATGAGAGGAAACCGGGCAGGTCTGTTGTTTTGGGGATGTTTACAGCTGGATTTCATGCATCTACACAGCACAGTATAAGTTTAGCATCAACTGCCCAAGACATTTTCTTTCCTGATATCCAAAGGATCCCTTTTCTCAAATTGGCTTTGTCCTACTTTGTTAAATGTGTTAGGAAATATGTGATTTTATTTCTAGGAATGACCCAAGATTAACATAAGGTGGGGAAAAAAAAAACTATATGAAGAAGAAGACAGTATTTTCTTGGGTCGAAGTAGGGCAAATGATAAAGAGAGGAGATAGACAAAGAAATTGTAAGAAGTGTGTTTAGAGTTGCAAGAAGTACGATAGGGAAATGACAGTTCTTGGCCTCAGTACCTTAAGACACAGTGAATAAAACATGTGGCTAGTGTTTTGTCTCAGCTGCATTTTATTTACAATTACTTAATAGCCTGGTGACTTATTGAATAGCCTGGTGACCTTATAAAAATACCTTCTCCCTAGAACCTAAAGTACAATAAAAAAATAAAAAATAAATAATAAATAACTTCTCTACATCTTGGGGCTTGCACCGAAAGTTGATCATGTGATCATAGTTCCATACTTTATTTAGGATTCCCGAGAAATCAACCTAAGACAAAGCCTTTAGGGGCAGTTTAATTCCAGTGAAGTGAGAGTGAGAGAAATGGGAAACCAACAGAGATGCCAAATGGGCTGGGAAGCTGTGCTCAGCTTCAGAATCAGCCCAGGGAGTCACTCTGTCTTACCGGTATGTCTAGACAGCGTGGGTGGACCCCTGGGCCCTGATGTTTACCACCAGCCCTTCTCAGCTCCTGTGTCCCATTCTCAAAATATGACCTCTAGGGCATTGCTTACCCCTCATTTTGGGGTTCCCACATGTCTGCTGCAGAAGCCAGAGCCTCAGCAGGCTCAGTGCAGTCAGCCTTTGGGTGAGGTGGCCCCTTTTACTCAGCCTATTATCTTGCAGAGCTCCTGGTTCTGGGTGGCCGTAGCACCTGGGATCTGGATTCATAGCCATAGAAACAGAGTGAGCCATTGCACCAAGCACGGCAGGAAGAAGGTGCACTGCTGAGAGGAGCACTTGGAAACCGAGCCCTGCTTGCTGAGTGCTAGCGTTGTGCTAACTTCTGCAGGGAGCAAGGGTATTCACGCTTTTTGCAGTGTCCTCACAGCATGCTTCTGGATCTCACATGATGAACTGCATGCATATCTGCATGTGTGTCTGTGAAGACTGTGTGCACATATGTGTATGTGCCGTGCGTGCATGTGTGCACTGAATGATAGCAGTGTTTTCTTCTCCTGCCCACCCTCCTGGCTCCTGCTTTGGGTGGTGCTCATGAAGCCTGGATCCTGTGGTTGCTGGTCAGTTACAAGCAACCAGATGTGAAGGATAAACCAAAATATTGCGAAGTTTTGCACAGTGTAGATATAGCCCAGGAGGAAATATCTGCTGAATAGTCTCTGTGTATTTAGGATTGTTTACTGATCAGCCACAGATTTGCTGGGAGGAATGCCTGATGTACATCACAGGGATGGAAAAAGCAAACCACCATGGCATGTGTGTACCTATGCAACACTCCTGCAAGATCTGCACGTGTACCCGAGAACTTAAAGTACAATAAAAGAAAAAAAAAAAGAAAGTGGCAGCAACAACAACAAGAAGCCCATTTGAATCCAGCATCCTATGATGCTGAGCAGAGGGCTGACTGAGTCTCGTGTTCTCATCTCTGATTTGGGAATGAGGCACCTCCATTGCTGACTTATCTTGGAGGCCCCAGATGCCTGCCCGGACCTGAGTGATTAGTCTTTGTGTTGCTTCCCTGCATGCTTTACCTGGTCAGCTATTGTGTCCAGCACATGCATGATGCAGTCGTGAGCTGGTTGGTGGTGCTGGCTTCTCCTCCCATCTCTCTGCCTCCGACACACCTCACTGTTTCCTCATTCCAGCTACAGAGCAAAGAGTACCATCCGCAAAACACCTTTTGGCCTAGAGTTTGAAGAGTCTCCTCTGGCTTCCTGAGCCCATGTGGAAAACAGGCCCTGACATTGTTGAACTCAGAGCCCTGATAATTGTCAGGAAGGAGGCAAATGGGTTTCCACCTTGGATCTCATGGAGGCAGGAAGAAGGTGGGAGAGGGGCTTTCAGGCAAAGCTCCTTCCCAAGCCGTAATTCCCTTCAGTCCTGGCTGCATCCAGACCCTCTTCAGGGTTCACACAATGTGGATATAGCTTCTGTCTTTGTATGGATACGTGGGTGGACATGAGGATTTAATTTTTCTAATTCACATGACAAAGTCCTATTGTTTGTTGAGTGACAGGTTTTCATGAACTTACAGCATACTTGGAAAGTTTAAATTAAATCCCCTCACACAAAAATTCACACCTCATTGTCAGTGCCATGCTTCTGAGAGCTGGTCACAGTTGGAAACCGCCAGTCACTCCAAGCCCCTTGCAAAAGTATTCCTGTTGCTTATACCCTGGAAGCATCCTATATTTTGATTGCCATTCAGGGATCTTTGTTGGGCTATTGCTAACACATATTATCTAAAAATCACATAAAATATTAGCTTCCTTTCTTTCCTAAGGCTAGAGAGATCCATCTACTCTCATGCATTTTTAGTGGTGCTAAACTGCCTTAAGGCTTGAAGAGATGAGTCTAAAAATTGTTGCTATAAAAAGAAAAAATGACACAGAAATGACACATTATGTGTGAAAAGCAAAAGGGCAATAAAAGGCATTTCAGTATCCATAGCAGACGCGCATTCATCTCTCAGATGTTGGCATTTTCTGGAATGCTGAACAAGTCGTGCGTTCGAACAGTGTTTCCCTAGCATGTGGCTGGCTTCCTTGCAAATGGTCTTCACAACCTTCCTGGTCTGGTTTATTAGGGTTGTGTCCCTAAGGGGCATCTCTCAGCAGAGACTGTCCGGTGAAGTATCTAAGTTCCCATCTGAGTGGTGTAAAAAATCCCTTATTGTAGAATCAGTGAAGACACCTAAAGCGCTTGTTTTAAACTAGAGGCAAATGCTCCCAAGTGTGCACGTGCCGCGAGGATGCTGAGATATTCCACCCGGAGGCTGGGTTGTGTTTTTGCTCCTGAAGGCCTCCAATTCAGAGGCTTCTTCAATGTCTAGAGATATTCTGAATCCCTGCTTCTGTCTCCTGGTTTGTGCTCTCATTTGTTGCACAGGTATTTATGGCAAGGCTATCAGAAGCTCCTTGCACAGTGCTGGAGGCTGTGAGAGATTTCAAGGCGAATGAGACACAGCGCGTTCCCTTGGGGATTGGCACCTTCCCGTGTGGCCTCTTCTCCCAAGCCTCCCACTCTTTCATACTGCTGGACTTTATGTTAAGATCCGCAGCCTAAACCTGAGATGGAGCAATGAAGGAACTAAGTTAGATGCCTCAAAAGTGAGAGAAGAGAGGCGAAGTGGAGGGAGAGGGTATAAACCTAAGTCATTGTGTCTATAGGGGAAGAACAGAGTGCAGAACTTCAAAGCAGGAAGGCAGGAGACAGCCTCCATGGTGTCTGAAATAACCTTTGGAAAACTCTGTTGTGGACAATCTAAGTTATATGCAATTCTCTGAACAAGCCACAGCTTTGTTACCAACAGTGTTTTGCTGCTGTGTGTTTTTTTTTTTTTTTTTTTTTGAGACGGAGCTTTGTTCTTGTTGCTCAGGCTGGAGTGCAAAGGCATGATCTCCGTTCACTACAACCTCCGTCTCCCAGTTCAAGTGACTCTCCTGCCTTAGCTTCCTGAGTAGCTGGGATTACAGGCGTGCGCCATGTGGTGGGTTTTTAATCTAGAACACATGTAATCATTTTGGAAAAAATATATATTCTATGGATATTTCAAGGCCCAACCCAAAGTCCAGTTTCCAGCAATAAGTTTCTCTTACCTTTTTACTAAAGGCAAAATCAGTTCT